TCGCCCCGAGTCTCGAGACGTTTCTGTGTATTATAAGCAAGGCATCGGGCTGGATTACGACCGCAGCAATTACGTTTTGGAAAGAGAAGGAAGCCCTATGGCTAGTTTTTGGCCAAAAGAAAAAGATTTTCGGAGAAATAAAGGTCTATTGATATGACCCGAAGTAGGATTGCTAATTTTTGAAAATATCGAAATACTTATACAATTATTTTGTCTTTGCCTCTTGCAGATTTACTGAAATAAAGTTACTCGCTATCTAGCGGAAGAGGCTTAAATCACCGTACATAAAGCGATCGAAAACGAGTCTAATTTTTTTAAACAGATTTGAAACAATTTTAGTTTTAAAAAGAAAATTGCCAAAAACCAGTCCATAAATATTTCTGTATTTTGAAACATTTTAAATGGTCATTTTTTGACCTTAATTAATTCTAAGCACTTTAACCAGATAATTGCAAAGAATAATATTCAATTTACTCCGATTCATCGTGCTCTCAAGTTTCAGCATGGCATTCGGCTCTTATCATCACCTTCCCAAGACGTATGTATAATATAATACATGCTCACGCGATTTACATGTTTCAACCCCCCAAAAAAGAAGAAGAGAAAGAAAAATAAAACTCAACCAGCTGAAGCAATCTCGTATACCATATACACGGTGGTAAAAGCTCCTTATTATAAAGCTCCTCTGTGCCACCGAGTGGCAAAACTAACCCCTTCTGAAAATTTTCCCTTTTTTTTTGCGTACATATAGTAACTACCAACCAACGTAGACGGAATATGTACGAGTGCATTATGTGCACCATATATATACTGTACGTTTGTGTGTGTAAGCGTCGTCGGGCGCCTCGAGGCTATTTTTCCGTACATAAGAACTGCTGCTGCTCGTCTTTTTTTTTGGTGCGTTAAAAATTTTATACACATCCCCCGCGGCTGGTTTTTTTGTATATAAACCTCGTCGGTATGCACACTTGGTATAACACGCAGGCAGCAGCAGCACCTTTACATAAATTGCACTTTTTCAGCCGAGGAAAAAACCCTCGGGTATATATTACGTACTTCCCTTTTTAACTCTTTTAGTTCGGTTAAACGCTGTACGTGTTGTTTTACGCGGCTCAAAGCTTTCTATGGTGAAAATCGAATTGTGTAAAATTAAATACAGCCTCTCCGACGACGGGATTATGTAATATAGTATATAAAATATAAATATCGAATAAACAATGGATTAACTCGTCACGCGCGGGGATTTATAAGCGCGCGACGAGTTGATCCTTGCCCCTCACGAACCATGTCCGAGTATAAGAGATAGCCGCGTTAAACCGTTATGAACTTCGAGAGCATGAAAATTCACGCAGGTGTCGATGCGCACGGGACGAAACTTTTCCAACGACGAGCCAAGAACTTTAGCTCATAGTTGAAATAAGTTTTGAAGTTCCTGTATGCGTCAAAATAAATGTATTTAGGTAAACATTGTATAATGGAACGGTGACTTTGATCGAACATTTTTTTGTACGTCTGCTTCTTTCGTATAGAAATAGGGTGAATGATTTTGGGAAGGGAAATATATACACACGCAGAAGTGATGTACCATTCGTAATGCCTATCTCGTACCGACAATAAGATCGGAGTGCCGCCACAGCCGCGGCACGTGCCTTATCTTTACTTTATGGCTTATATTATAGCTTGTGCTGCACTCCGTACCTGCGATCTGGTATAATATCTTACGTAACTTATTAAATACTAGAAGTGATTTTTTTTTTCGAAGCACAATCTTAAATTAACATAATGTATAGTCGAGAGGAGATCATCGCGGACGAAACTCTTGCACAATGCCCTCAAGAAAATATCTCGAATGGCAAAAAAATCGATACCATTAAGGCAAAAAAAGAAGAAGAAGAAGTAAAGGAAAGAATAAGAAAAGTTAAAAATGCTTAAACGAGCGGTAAATTGTATACACAGCTCTTCGGAGATCGACCTCGACGACCATCAATTTTTTTTTTTTTTTTTTTTTTTTTTTTTTTTGAAGATAATTGTCCCAAAGCAAAACGTTATAATAAGCTTCGAGCGCGATGCCGAGAGTTTATTGAGGAGAAAAATAATATTTCCTTCGTCTGAAAAAGAAAAGCTGCGACAAATGGTTTCTTTTTGTTATCAGTGAAACAATTTTTTCTTTTCGTTTTCTTCCTTTCGGAACTGATACGTACATGTGTGAGTGTGTGTATGTTTATGTACGAGTGAGTTTGTGGCGAGTGAAAGTAAAAACTCGAATGCATACATGTATATATAGGATACACGCCCGCAGAGAGCTCTTGGGAACCATACTGCACGCGGGTAAAAAAGTCGAAGGTCCGAATCCTTTTTCTCGTCTCTTTGTTGCTGGGGTCAAAAAATTTCACGTCAGCGCGGCAATAAACCAGATGTCAAGAAAAAGAAAGAAACGCGCGCAGGACGAAATCGAAATGAACAATTTTTATTTATCCGTGCAAATTTCTTCGTTCGCGACAGCTCGTTAAAAAAAAAAAATTACGCGCGAGATGCGATTGTGAAAGTCTTCATAATAAACTTTACACAATGTGCATAATGTAATATTGTAATACGAAAGGTGGTTACGGTAGCAGATAGTGACCGTTTACATGCCTCTCGACGCGCAGAGAGATTGCAGCTTTGCGCGTGTAACTTGTCGAGATGTCTATAACGTCACGATGCGGACGTCGTGCGTTGCTGTGTGATCTTGAATTCAAATTAGCTCGAGAGCCAACAGCTCAAGGATAATTCGCGCGTTACGTTGAAAATCTCGAACGCACCGCGTCAAGTGGCATTTTTTTTCTTCGATATTACTTTTTAATACTCGTTGCGGATACCATATAATATTATAATTATATGTGGAAATAGACTATGAATCATTCCATTGAAATTTTCGTTCTCGATTTAAGTATAATATACCAAACAGAAAATTTTTTGCCACTTGCGGATATACAATACTCCATCTATTGATGGAATCAAAAAGCTCACAATTAAATATAAACTCCTTTATGGCATTGTATGACATAAATTTATACGAAAGAGTATAAGTGTTTCATGATCATTTCAAATGTTTAAAAGTACATTATTATCAATTGGCTTTTTTGGACGATTATATAAGAAATATTATTTGCTTTTTAAATCACCTGAAAATGACTATTTAATTGTTTCAGAAAATTTAAACCAGTTTTCCGCCCCTAGATGGCGAGTTTCTCTTTTCTACAAATCTGCAAGTGGCAAAGTAATGACTTTCCATTTGTACATAAGTTCAAGCATGGGTTCAATATAAATGAGTTGAATTTTGTCACCGAAAGTTCCAATGAGAAAACGAAATTTGAGAACTGACCCGGGTCCGTAATCTCCCGCTGCCTCTCGAGCCGTTTGTCTCATGAAAAATTCATTGTAGCGCGATAACACTCGCCAAGCGCACGACGACACGCGAAGAAAAGTCCCCACTTCTCCATAATATGTATGCTCTATCCGACCCTATTTTTTCACTCTATATAGCTTTAACCGCAGCATGGCTCTCTGCTGATGTGCGGTATGTACCAGTATGCACAATTTTTCCAGACATACAACTTTGTAAACTATTCGAAGAGGGTTCAAGTTTATATGACTTTTTTAGCGACACGATGTTGCTGTCTTATAACAAAAAAATAAATAACAATAATCGAGGAAATTGCGACCCTAAATAATTTACAATTCCGCTTATCTTAAATTCGGAGTCGCACCAGAGCTCGAGAGAGTTTCGAGAGAAAAATGTCAAAATATGTATATTTTTTTAAACATTTACGCTCTCGGGACAGATCTCGCTTGCTCGTGCACGGCACTTACACTTCTCGCTGATACTCTTCTCCGTTTCGACTTGCGCGCACACACCGAGCGGTAATAAAGTCATTCCAACTCGTATCTCTCCGTATTTTAATATTATAATACGAAAATGCATGCGATATAGATCTGCACTCGCTTCTCTCGTAGCTGCGGCACTTGACTTTTGCTATGTGAGTTCACGTCTCTTGTAAATTATAACGCAATCAGAAATTCTCTGTCGTTAAGTTACTTATATAAAGTGTATTAATCCGCAGCGCGTTGATGAATTAACAGTGTCTAGATTTTTATTTTATCTTTTTGTAGTGTCTTGCTTCGCTTGCGCTTCTCGCTGAAGAGAGGGCGAAAGGCACTCGAAACTATGCGCGACTTTCGCATTGATAATTGCGAGGAAGGGTACAAGAAAAAAATTTCTTCGATCGTTGTACGAACGATGAAGCCTCATCAAAGGCATTGACGTCGGTGAAACGAGGAAGCAATGAATTGACGAATCCCAGTCATTAATATAAGCAATCATAGTAGGTAACTAAGATGGAAGCGACATTTTGAAAAAAGGATTTGAGTATAATATGTACTAAACAGACAACTTTTTGCCACTTGCGGATTCACAATACTCCATCTGTTGACGGAATCAAAAAGCTCACAATCAAATATAATACCTTTATGACATTACATGGCATAAGTTTATATGAAAGAGTATATTAGTGTCTCAAATAAGCCCGACTTCGAGATATTTTTACTTTTAATTAATTATTTAATCCTCGATTCCACCGTTGTTTAATTTTTATATGTAAGTTTTTGAGAGTCTCAGTTAAGCCCGATTTCGAAAAATTGTTGAATTTAATTAATTGAATTTATACTCTAATGCAATAAGCGATCATAATTCGTTCGATGTAGGGCCACGAAAGCTTTTTTGTCCCTCTTTGTACAAATGATTGTTTACATATTACACAAATATGAAGGATGACGAGCTTGTATTTACCCTATCTGGAGATAAAAAACAATAATGTTCATTTTTATACAAAAAATTATTGTTAGAACAGAAATTAAATCGTGAATATACAATAAATTGATTTGTTTTATTCTTTGACATATGTCTTAAAATGATAATTCATCTCTCGAAAAAATGCTCATAATCATGTTTTCTTTCTAATTACAGATGATCGCAGATCAAAGCACCAAACTCAACAGATGAATCTTCACGTACTCCAATGAAAGCAGCAGCATAGCACAGTCGATTAGCTTCCGCAAACTTCACCCTCGACCCAATTATGCGCCAAGCCTCAAACCCAACAACCAGAAGAAGAAGCGCAGAATCGATCGTGATCAGCCACGGCCACCGCCACCGTCACCGCAATAACAACAACAACAACAACAACAACAACAACAACAACAACAACAACAACAACAACAACAACAACAACAACCACAATAATAGTCGAAGAAAAGCCTCAGCAGCGGGCGCAGGAGGATGATAGAGCCGCGGCCGCAGCTACTGCTGGCGCCGGCCCTCAGCAACAGCAGCTGCTGGCGCAGTCTGTCGGGCGCGGGCGGCGGGGGCCTCGAGGCGCGCTGGCAGTCGCCGGGCGTGCTCGAGCTGCTGCGCGCCGCCGTCATACTCGCGCTCAGCCTCGGCATCCTCGTGGCCAATCTGCTGGTCATCTGCGTGATCAACAGTCGACGCTATCACAAGTACATACACGCGCAGGTGAGATGAATATGTTTCTTTGTTCTTTTTTTTTGTAAATTATTCATTAGGTGGGGTGTGCAACTGCAGCAGGATTATGCAGGAGGTGCAGCTCGTGCCGATTACCTGAAAAATTAAAAATATTAATATAGGTTCCGGTCTATTTGATAAGATATCGCGATTTCGCACCGTTAAGAGAAGCGAGTTGTCGATGACGAATAGATCGTAGACTCGAAAACTCACTCGGTTGCTAAATGTGTACCTGAGACACACGTCAACTTGATTTTGAATCGAGTCGTGATAGTCGAATTTATGCAGGATGTCCGTCAGAGTCTTGACGTATTTTTTATTCTACATAAACAAAAGTAAACGATGACTTGAAGGGTAATATAGAAGACTATTAATCGGTCCGTCCCTATTTTCGAGCAAGATTAAAACTTAATATCACTAGTTACATGATACATTATCCCTAGCTCTAATAGCTTCTACAACGCATCGATATTGCCAACTAAAAATTATATCTATTTGTGTAGTCTGGTGATGTGAACCAAAAAATCTAGTAGCAGCCTTTTTATTTATTGCTATTAGTCGCTGAGTTTACTGCAGCGCTCTAGCAGACTGCACTATTTGATATTTTCCGTCAATACGCGGCTAAGAATAATTCTCTAGTACCCGTCAATTTCCTGGTAAAATCATAATAAATAATTAAATTTTTTATTTTAGCACTTAAAAATTTGAATATTACCCACAAAAATGTTTAATTTTCAATTAAAAAAAAGATTCATCACCAATAACCGGTCAATTTTTATTACGATATAATTCCATTAGTTCCATTAATTCTATCAATTTCATTAGTTTACTCAAAAGCGCTTTGTAAAGCGAAAATTACACTTATTGAACAATAATTAACTAATTTGAGTAATTTTAAAATATCTTCCAACGTTTATAAGATTTGAACAAGTAATCGGTTATTGGTGCATTCACCCTAAATATATATAATTTTTTTTTCATTTTTTCGGGTAATCAAACCTTCAATGTAAATTATTAAGAAAAAAAATGGAAACCTGTCTAATAGCCTCGGTGGCCAGCACCGATATCATCAAAATCGGCGTGAACAGATACAGACAGCCGCCGAGATAGATGCGAAACTCCGGCCTGCGGGTATCCTCGTTCAGCAGCATCTTCGACAGTAGGTAAAAGTGACTCGCGATAAACACCAAGTACCGCGCCACGGTGGGCAGCATGACCGACGAGTAAAAATCGGCCATCCGATCGGCGAGCTCGATCAGTGACTCGTACAGCTTCTGCGCCGCGCCCAGAGCAGTCTCGAGCGTCGCCAAATAATCGGGCGGCCGTCGACGCGTCTCCAACAGGATCTTCAGATCCGAACTCGTTTGACCGAGCGCATCGGCGATCAGACGAGCCAACATGGAGTACTGCGTGCAGACGACGAAGTACGCGATCATGTAGCAAACGGAGCAGATCTTGCCGGCGAAGGGCAGACCTCGTATGTCGACGTTCAAGGCGAGTGCGAGGACGCCGAACATCTGCGCGACGATCATCAGCACGACCGTGGTGTATCGCGCGTGCAGCCTGTTTTTCCGGCGTCTCTGGGGCAAAGATCGCTGTATGTTGGCGCCGAGCGACCACAGAGAGCAGAGGCTGGATTGACGCAGACACATGGCCAGGAGCACGACGACGATGCCCAGCGACGAGTAGGCAGCGTCGCAGATCAGAAAGAGGATGCCCGGCTCGGCTATCGTCGCGTAAACGCCGACGAGGTAGTAGAGTCTGTAGGAGACCGAGCCGAGGACGATGCCGCAGAGCAGAAGATTGTGGAAGGTGCCGAGTTTGCAGTCGGAGAAAACGACGGATCGATGACCGTCGACGACCACGAATCGACAGCCGATCGGGGCCAGGCCGAGAAGCTTGAAGAGGTAGAAGGAGAACGCCGAGATGTGTCTGTTGCCGTCTTTCAGTAGGAAGTACATGATTACTTTACGCCGCGAGTTTACGTACTGTCGAGATGTTTATGTTTACGAAGAGAACGAAACACAACGACAAAAGCAGAGCGTTTAAATCGACAGCGTGCCGTTACCGAACGAAACGCGTAAGCAGTTGCACGAAAAAAGCAAGTAAATAAACGCTTCACACGCGATCGTCGCCTACACGTTTGATGCAAAAATAGATAAATCGATGCACTCACTGGCATTTTGAGCGAAAAACACAAGCTTATGCGGAGGTATTCAGAGTACGTGTCTAATAGACACTGTCTATATAGATGACTCTCTGGGGATACGGCACGGTGACTGTTGGTCTGGGCTGCGCGCACCCACACACACACACACACACACGCGCACACACACTCGAGTGCGGCTGATTCGATAAAGGAAACGGCTCGAGAGAATCGATAATACGAGTCGTACACAGCATAATTACTCTAGCTTGGCACGATCGTCATCGTGTGCTGCAGTCTCAAAAGCGCGTTCGAATTAGCATCGAGCTAACTGTTCGGGACTGCGGGGAGATGATGGAGATGAGAGCACTGCGTTCACGCGTCTGCGTTTATGTAAATGACACGATGCATAGTATATACGATCTTTAGGTCTCCGCAAGAAAATTTTCCATCCAAATTTTGTCGTGCTTCATTCATATCGAGACGATTTTTTAATATTTTTTTGGACATTTTTCTTTATTTTGAATAGATTTAAGCTCATTTCGAATCACCTGCTTGCTGAAATAAACTGTCTTTTTTTTTTGGTTTTTAATATTTTATGTTTTAAACCAGAACTAGGAAAATACTTTTTACTTCTTTTATTTCAATAGTTACTTTACTGACCTTAAAGTCTCGCTGAATAATTCATTGTTCTCATTATTATTTAGAAGATCGGTAAAGATTTGTGATTTTTTTAAATTGATAATAGAAATGATATGATAGCAAATTACGTTCTAAAAATCGAGAAAATAAATCATATCACTGAATACTTTAGGAAAGCTTATAAAATAATTTTATGCAATAGTATGACGAAAAACATCTTTTTTCGCACATTTTTTAGTGCGCAAAAAGCGTTTTTGGACACGGGTGTGCGGTAAAATGTCTCATTTTGGACACGGGTGTGCAGTAAAACGGCTCATTTAAATGAAAGTACTTTTCGTCTACTATTGCATAAAATTTTGTATGCAACACGTGCCCAGCTTTTTGCGCACAGTGTGCGGAAAAAACACCCACTCGTGCCGGCATAGCCGTCACTCGTGTCTTTTTCCACACACTCGTGCTCAAAAACGCCTTTTGGGCACTTGTTACATAAATAACTATTATTAGCATATTTAAACGATTATTTGGCATACATATATTCTTTTTATTGGCAATACTTTTAATTATTTTCAAATTTCAAAGAACCTTTGATAAAATATCTATATCGTCAATACAAATACTTCTTTGATGAATTCACACGAGTGATACCGATACGGTCATGTATGAAAATGACGTATGAACTATCTGCAAAGTTACTATACGATAAATGGTTGCTCGATTAATTTAAAATTGTTCGGAAGGCATTCTATACTCACCGAATGAAATGTTCGTAGTTCGTTTTTCGAAATTGTAAGTGGCCCTGCTCTTAGTTCACACCGAAACGATGCTCGTTGCATAATTAATTAAATGTATGGTCGCGTTTTTAGAGGAATATTGTACCATCCGCTGAAATAAACGGTAGCTTTGAAATTGTAATAAACATTATACTCACCACTCATTAACCTGTCTAATACCAAAAGACCCTATTTTTGACTTATTTTTCCACGCTTTATTTTTTTATGAAACCATTGTGAAATTAATGTGAAAATACTATATCGTATGGGATTTTTATCGCTCTTTTCAAATTTGGCGTCAGATTTACGATATATGCAACCGTTTAAAAAATACATTTGTTTAAACAAAAAAAAACGTGGTTTTTGAACATTTTTTTCTCAAAATGATCGTTTTTTTCACCACGATTACGCATTCGGATCGTCTTGAAACTCTGGATCTGGTGGCATGAAGGCCTGAACTAAAAGTTAGCGGCGTTGGTTCATCCAGATTCAAGATGGCAGCCACCAAAACAGTTGATTGTAGCCGAAAATGTAAAAAATCTGACATCAGATTTGAAAAGAGCGATAAAAATCCCATTAAATATGGTATTTTCACATTAATTTTACTGTGTTTTCATAAAAAAATAACGCGTGGAGAAATAGACGGGTTAAAGACTTCAGTGCTTACTTCACTTAAAATTTGACCGAAATGAGCTAGAAGAAAAGCCAAAAACAACAAGCACTCGAACCGTACTATCATTTGCATCATTAATTTTCTAAAAATTTTAATTTCTATATGATGCATAATAAGTTGTAAATTCAAAAGCAGTACTACCGACAATAGTGTCGCTTACAGCTTCCACGATTAATAATTTTCACTACTTGTTCGAAAACATAAAATGAAAATGAGAGTGCGTGTTCTTTGTCAGAGTATACAATTTTTTTGTGTAATATGTAATGTTGCGCTCAAACCGCAAAACTTTTCTTTATTTTAATTGTGTTCTTATTCAATTATTCATGACATTGACCTCATTTTAAATGTCATTATTCGACTAGCTAACACTACTCTGACTAAATCCTACCTTCATCGAGGCAACAATTTGAGCAGACTCGATTTCAGTTAGACGAGGTATTTTAAGTACTTTAAACGTTTTTTTCAATTACTCGTAAAAAAAGTACTTATTAGTGGTGGTGTACATTTCATTGTGATACAATAGCTAAAGTGCGGGAACATATTTCAACGATCCATTTTTTCAGCAATCTTGTTAAGTTCGAAGAACAACTGACAACTCGAAATCGGTGGGCGAACAAATGTATTTATAATTGTTAATCACTTGCAAAAAAACCTCAACTTTCCCGAATAAAATCGTGATTTGATAATAAATTAGTCGATTTTGTCTTTTTAAGGTAAATTTGTATATTTTTGTGGCGAGTGCATAGTGTGTATTTTAATTTTAAATGAAGTTTGATATTTTATTGTGTTAGAAAAAAAGAAAAATTAAAAAAAATTAATTTATAAATTTACTACCATCCTCGAAATTGACTCAAACCTAATCAAAATATCTGTAGCCTTAATCTCGAGAACATTTTCAAGAATTTACGAAGACAGAAGAATTTGAAAATTGACAAAATTTCAATCGAAATTTTTGTTGCGATAATTTTATTGCTAATTGTAAATAAGAATTAGAGATTTGACTTTGAGACGAGAGAAAAAATGCTAAACTTTTAATTTCCAATCCATGAAACGCTGAGGGTAATATGTAGCTATACTGCCAAAATCGTTTATAAATTATACACATTTGCAGCATTTGAAAATTGCCAAAATTTCAATGAAAATGTTGACAGCAATAATTTCGTCGCGGAGTGTATATTACTCGATTGTAAAAGCGCGCATCACCACCCATAGTCACAGACGATTTATTAATCGCGAGAAAGTCGAACTTTCGGGCTTCGAAAAACAAGGCAAAAGCGAGCGCGACAGGCAACCCGATATGCACAGGATATGAAACGTCGGTATATTGTGCGCTGCATACCAGTAGTAGTCTCCGCGTGTGTGTAAACGGACTTGGACGCGCCGCCTCGCGTCGATAATGTGTATAATCGATAGAAATTCTCTATACACACAACACACTACGTCGCACCCGCTCCGCGTTGTGTACATGCACGGCGTTCATGAATAATTCGCCGTGAAACTGCCACTCGGCACCCGCGAGAGTACCTACATATATATAAAGCGGCGGTTGTACCCCCCGAAGCAAATAACGCTGAAGAGCCGTGGAATCGTTTGCATAATTGCGTTTTCTTCGCACGCAACGAAAAGTGTTTGCTCTTCTTCCAGTACATACTATATATTAAAGCAATTCCTAAAAAATATCTCGCGTACCGATCGTTCGATGAATTTATTAGCACAAGTTACGCGTCGATGGTTATACAGCAGCGGCCACGACCTCGTGTATGTATGTATGTGTGTACGTGCAGAGATGTAATACCTATATAACCGACAAAATTAATTATCGCCCTCGAGCTTTTTGGCATTTCGCGCGCGCGGGTAATGGGAAAATTTATTGCTGCAAAATTTTCACTCCCCGAACGATATTCGCTCGTTATATTATTACAGAGACATTGGAACGCGCGAGCCAACCCACCGCGTGCAAGTAGCCCAAGTATATTTTCGCATAAATCAAAATCTACGTTATGCGCGCGGGGCTCGGGGCTCGCAGCGAGCGAGCTCTAGCTCATATAATAACGAGTATTTAACATATCGCACGCTCGATGTGTCAATGTCGACCGAGAGATGAAATTTCAATTACGAAGATATATATTGTAATAGAGGCGCGCGATTATTACACGTATCGCAGTTACGTAAAATTTTAAATTTTCTTCCTTTTGTCAGCCGAGATACCTGCTCACGAGCCTGGCGAGCAACGATCTGGCGATCGGCCTGCTGGTCACGCCGTTCGGCTTCGTGCCCGCCATCTACAGCTGCTGGCCCTACGGCGAGATCGTCTGTCAGATTCAGGTAAGGCTTTATACTTACTTACTTACTTCACTACTATTGCACGGACGAAAATAAACTCTGGGCTTTTTTTTACCTTCCCATTTTCTCTCTTTTCCGAACGATTGATTCGCGCCGCGAAGAAAAAAAAGGATCAGCGCTTTTTGTTCAGCTTCCAGCAAAAAGGATCTCGAGGCAAAAAAAATCTTAATTCAATCTTCGAGGTATATATAACTAACTAGGCCGTCGTATACAGTAGCTGCTCCCGTTAATTCCGCGGTACCAATGACTCTTTCATAGCCTCTAATAAGCCCTGTACTCTCACCTTCGTCATCATCGTCTTCTTTTTTCTCCTTCGCGAGCTAATCCCCCTCTTTATATACTCTACTTATATACTCGCCATTTTTTCTCTCCTTTTTTTTTGCTTATTATGCAACACGAGTGTGTATATAATAATAATAATAATCCACAGGCGCTATCGTAACTGTAATATCTTATCGCGCGAGTTCTCGAGCTTTTTTTAATACGGATGTAAATTCACCTGTGTCATCCCTTATTCATTTGCATAATACACAGTATATATACTCGGTTTTCTCGAAGGCTAGAGGTGTACCGCTCTCGTAAACGTTGAGTATTTAGTTCGCTCCTTTGTTGAATATCAGCGAAGAAAAAGAAGAAAAAGAAGAAGAATAAGGCGATAATCTCGAGACCCAACCTCGAGATCGTGTGCGGTCTGTGCTCCGTAGTAGTAGTAGTAGTAGCAGCTGATTTGTGGAGTACAGTGCAGCTGCCTCGGACACGAGAACACGCGCTCAGACCCCCCCGACTCTTAATTTATTTTAACGAGCTCTCGAGAGCTCCGTCTGTGTGTGTGTGTGTGTGTGTGTGTGTGTGTGTGTGTGCATAGCTTTCGCTATTATATAGCTATGGATAAAATCCGTGTACCTGGCCGAGAAGTATTTATGAAGAGTTCGAGAAAGTTCAATGATAACGGCACGCGGCTGCGTATGTGTGTATACGAGTGGTTCTGTGAAAAATCAAAATTCCGAGGCTCGAATGGGGATTGACATTTTTTTCCACTGTTTGTGATGTATGATGTTTTTCATCTAAACATTATCGGGTTTCAAACGACAAAAAATCGCATTTTTACGTTAAAATACGACCACTTATTGCGCGTTTGATATTGCCGAAATTATTCGAAACTCTTTTTGGGCTTTGAGACATCGAATACTTGAATTAAAATCTACTAAAGTAGAATCTGAATAACATAACTTTAAATCAATGGTTAAACTAAATTACGCTCGACAAGCATCAACTTGACGTATGTTATAACTTCTAAGATAAGAAAATTTTCGAGAAACTTTGGGAAATTGGGATTTGGATATGATATTGGACAAATCAAAAGTATTAAAAAAAAGTACGTCCAAGACGTGTTATTTATTATATAAGTTTCTGTATGAAAGATGAAACTTTTCGCCATTATTACAAAACTTAAAATAGTTGAAAATTTTCTCAAGTTTTTTTAAACAAAATTTAAGGACATTTATGGTAAAATATTTTAATCGTAACAATACTTATGTTACGATTTTTCACAAATTTATTGTTCATTAGATAATGAACAATCGAGTTTAATAAAGGTATTATCGCTTAAAAGATTATCATGGCTGTGTAACGCACAAAAAAGTATACCTCACGGCGTCACTGTTGCTATCCATCACTGCCTTGACTATAAAGTGGTCGCTGTGATTCTTCACGATATTTACCGAGTAAATATTCGAGGTTATGTCTTTCGAGTGTCCGACGCTGTTCGTGGATTTCACCGATACACTCACTTATATGAATATAATTTTTATAAACACTTGCACGTCTTGGTATTGATCTCTACACTAGCGAGTTAACACATCAGTACTCAGTAGCCTATATTATAATCGTATATATAATGGCGAGGTGATCTCCTGCGACTGTAACAGTTGCCTTGCGAAACCTTCCCGCTCTATCGTGGACTGCGTCACTTACGCAGTTATTCTCAACGCGTGTCGCTTAGCTCTTCTCTGCAGTACGTAATTTTGCCTTGTAACTTTTGGTGACTGTTAATCCATTCATTCGTGTAGTAAAATCTTTTAAACAAGTTTGCAAAAATCAAAACTTATTCTTTAAACTACATAATATACGTAAAGTTGACTGCAAATAATAATCCAGCAAATAATAATTGAATTTACGTTCACTGAAAGGATATTTTTTCAATTTCGATGCAAAAAAGAGTCCCAGAATTTCCATTGATCTTACGTTTTTTTCATATTCACCTCAATGAAAAATTATCAACTTTTATCACACACGTGTCAATTGACAAAAACTTCAATCGCGAATTATAAAAATTTTTTCATAAAAGTGCCCATATAGTCCAACGCGCGTGGAGAAAGGGACAGGGTCATCACTCGATACTTCGCGCGGGTTTTCAGAAAGTTGCCTCACTGTCTCGCGAGCTCAAGCTCAGCTCTATAGCCAGTGTATGCGATCGCGTTGAATTTTACAAAGCCTTCCCCTAGCTGCCATGCCGCACGAGTGTATTATGTGCGGCCTTTTGATTTAAGTTGCGCATTTTTATCAGCTTTTCTGCGCTTCAACTTTTCGTCTGTTTTCCGCAGGTGCGTATGCGTGTGTGTATACCCTTTGGATATTGCTTTTATGAATAAATTCGCGCCGTACTGTACGCGACGACAAAACTTTACGAGATATTCTATTCGCGGTGTATATGGTATAGGTATCGCGTCGTCGTCGTCATCGTCGACGAGCCGCACCGGGAGCAGAGAGACAGCAGATATCAAAAAGTAACGGTAACAAAAAGGAACGAGAGTAGAAAAAAAACAGAGGGTTCTAAGTGCAAGGTGATACATTATCTACTCTCTCTTCTTTTTTTTCGTTCCAGCCCGTCGTGTGACATACTCCACGGTCTGTGAGGGTGTGAGTCCAAACTGTGTACGTGTCGTAAATTTTTCGATTGCACTCGAGGCGCCTGTATATATATATACGTATAATAGGAGTGTATAACCCGACCCTCGGATCTCGGCAGGGCGCGAACGTCGTGACCGAGAAACGAGTTATTAGCCTTTCAATAATTCAAGGACTAGTACCACCGATCTCGGAGGCATCTTCTTATTCTATCTCTTCTTCTTCTTTTTTCTTTCATTTTTTTTTTCTTATCTCGTTCTGTTCTTTCTTTCTTTCTCTCACGGGCTATGGACTAGCTTGTGATTCCGCAAAATGCGTCGATTTTTATTCGCCGATGAAACAACAAAACAACGACGAGGTGTGACGAAAAAAATATTCGCGCGTTGCGCGTCGACCGAAGGGATATTCAGAGTTGACGAAAAAAGAAGGGAGAAAAACCGTTGGCCGATGAAAGAACTTGACACGAAGTACGTGCTCGAGTGAAAGTTTTGTCAATCAAGGTCAATACACCCTTTACGGTTGAAGTCATTTTTTCATCTTCAGACGGATGCCATTCTGAGTTCAAAAATTGTATGAAATAATATATCCACAATAAAGCATTTTAAAGTACGAAAAAACTCTTATGATAAAAGTGTACAAATCTCATAAATATTTCATTCAAAAATAAAAAAATTTTGCGAGAAAGCTCTATGATAGGCTTGAAAACTACTTTTTAAGCACAGGTATAGAAGCAGGTGTCGTTAATTCTTTTACATATTCTTAAACTAGATTGAATTCTGGACAAATGTCTGCAATGTGAATGAGCACGTGTATAGTGCGTTATCTCAAAAAGAAGATGTTGAATCGTGTCGAAAATAATTGTATTTATTGTCAATTTGGGACGAAGAGAAAATATAATATGCAACTAGCGCGTGATGATAATAGGATACTATATCGATACTATTGTATTGCCTTTTTTGATTCTTCAATCGCCTTTTTTCAATTATTTTTAATTTCTTCAGTTTTTTATATGAAGGCATAATAATTTTTTGAAATATTTGCCAAATGTTTATTAATAAAAAGTAGTCATGCTTTCATTTAAAATTAACAACGTAATGATTCATTGATTACATTGAAAGTTTCATGCTGGAAGAAAATTTTTTTTTTTTTTTTTTTTTTGAGATTTGTAGTGTCTTTACGGTTTCGAATACGATAAAGTGGCTTCCTAGAAAAATTATGAAAAAAAATTTGAATTAATAATCAAAAATATTCTGAGGAAAATGCTCTTTGCCAATGAACTTTTGACCATAACCATGCGATAATTATGAATTTTGGAAAATGATGATCAGAAATTAATAAATATAAAAGAGGATTCGCGCAATCTAAAAGTTTAACGACCAAAATTAATAAAGCTCGATATTTGAACTTTTGAAAATCGTTTTCAATTAAGAATCGTCAAGTCGTAACTCGTTACTTGTTAGTCGTAACGTAGCCCCTCTCAGTCACGTGACACGTAGTACTGAGCCAAACTATTCGCGTTCCCATTAGCAAGGTTATATCGTCCTTTTTTACTAATGTATCAAAACGTGTTTTATAAATATTTTCTGAAGTTTTGACGAGTTACTTAGTATAATTAGTTAATATGTCTACTGAATAAACCCAGTCAAAAGTGTTGAGTGAGAAAGTTGATATTGACCAAGAACAATCAACAGGGCCACCAGATGCATTCATACGCTGTGAAACATTTAAATTGAAAAATTTGTACAGTTCCTGAATTTGTTTCCACAAGAACAGAATTATGTTTACAACTAATTGAATCAATCAAAAAGGAATTGAGTTTTAACCCAAAATTCAAAAAACTCTTTGCTCCTGACACTGCTCCTGAAAATCCATTCAAAATGCAACAACAAAATGCTCCAAAGAATATTCTTTCAGGCACGCTATATTGAAAAAGCACATGTAAGTGATTTTTAATTTGAAAATCATAGAACTTTAATTAGCTAAGATTATGCATTAGATTCTTCTGTAGACAATCGATGCATTGGGTAAAAAAAGATTTTTATTTTGATAACGATAGCAATAAGTTTTTGTCTGAATCTTATGATTAGTAAAAAACTGGTTAGTGCATAAGCAGGTTTAAAAATCGATAAGTTCACTGTTGTGTACAGTTCAATGCAGAATATGCCAAACCACATTTTTTTGTTTCTGGTAAAGTGACAAAAAAATTATTTGTTGGGACATTAGATGTAGAAAAATAATCCAAGAATAACATATTCATTTAAGAACAGTAAATACCATCTTGTTTGTTGAAAAAAACCAGAGGAATGTGAGAAAGTCTGCCAATAAAAGTTTGAGCATGGATATATAGTATTCCTGTGAATATAAAATATATTGCAGATCCTTCTATGCATTTTATGCCAGCTGTGACAGTTTCACTAAACAATCAATGGTTTGCATGTGGAAGCATGGATAATAAAGTTGTCATATATTCAGCTATTGATAAAATTTCAAAAGAATCAAAAGATAGTAATTTACTATACAAGTGACATAAGTAACACTTTTTGGCACGGCGTAGTTTAGAGCCAGAGCGCAGCGCTGGCTATGCTTGTGGTGTCAGTTCATCCGCTTAGGCTAAATTCAGATCTACCATTTAGCATTCATGTTATTTAATATTTATGATCTCATGTATATCTTATGGCAGATCGGCCCCATGATTCAAGAGTACATCGACCATATTGGGTCTGACATTAGCCACGGCAAATTGAAGGGGTGTTAGGCCCTTATTGTCCCGAGCCTCGATTTGTAACTTTTGACGTGTATCCTTGCAGATCTTGAAAAATGTCTCCAAAAATGCAGCAGCATCATCAGACTCGCTATCGCAAATTATGTGCAGAGCAGTAGATCCGTCGTTTTTGGCTTTATTCGGGTCGGCGCCATTTCTTAGCAGGAACTCGACCAATGACTTGTTGCCTCTATACACAGCATGATGCAATGGTGTGTAGCCGTCTTGGTTCTGGACATCGATCCTCGCACCGAACTTGAGCAGCATCTTCGCCAATTCGACGTCGTTGTTTTCCAAGCAAACCCTGTGCAGAGGTGCGGATCCAGTCTCATCGATGTAATTCGGTTCTGCGCCATTTTTCAGCAGTATTTCGGTCACATTTTTGAGGTTGCGGGCCACGGCATATTCCAGAGCTGTCAAGCCGCTCTCATCTTGTAGGTTGATACGCACCGGCTGATGTTTGTAGTCGGTGAGATCGATCAACATCTGCATCAAGTCGCTATCTTCGGGACCCATGCTGATGAAGTGCACAGCTGTGAGTCCTTTCTTGTTGGCCACATTCGGATCAGCGCCGTGTCTCAGCAATATTTCGACTATCTCTGGATCCACGTGATCGAACATCAGTGCCGCGTGTAGCGGTGAAGTGCCTGTCTCTGTGTCGAGGATATTGGGATCCTGGCCGAGCTCGAGGAATTTCTCGACGACGTCTATGCAGCCCCACTCGCAGGCCACGTGGAAATGCGTGTAGCCGGACTCCTCGTCGATGTAATTGATATCAAATCGATCGTAAATTTTAAAGAGCTCACGACCGAAGGGATAAATTTCCTTGCAAAATGCACAAAACAGTGCTGTGCGACGATGCAACATCAACTTGCCGTCTTTATCGATTTTGGGCTTGTCTTTGTAGCCGGTCTCGACCAGGAACCTGATGAATCGTGCTGGCAGGTTCCACTTTGGCGTCGTAACGAATACTGGCAATTCTCATGTAATTTTGCAAATATTATAACGCCAGTCACTCAGTGGCAACTTTTAATCAAGAAATTAAGTGAAAAAAAAACAAACTTCCCATTGCAGTCGGTATACCTAACATAATGTAGAAGACAAAACCATCCGTATTCGCCTCGAGCGTTGATTATGATTATTGGTCACGTGGTACCTAGCAGAAAAAACAGGACGCTTATACATTGAGTCAAGTAGAACATGAGTTCAATTTTATGTAACAACCAAATAAAAGTATCTTTTCGTACAAACAAAACATTATTTCAAATTCTTTATGATTAAACTTGAAGATACATTTTAGTTCAAAACAGTATCAGCCGTTTCTGTTGTGAAAAAGTTGCGCTGAAAGTTTTCGAAAAAGGTTATGTCAATCTTGAGTTTGAAACTGCGCGAACGATTTCTGTGAGCGTAAGTCTGCATTAGGGTGACTGTACCAATACCCGGACAGCTAAGAAGTGATGTTCTATTGCCCGGCCATTTTCTACCCTAAATTATGTCGAAATTCACAAAGAGAGTTTGGAAAAAAAATGTAAACGTCGTAAATTTAAATTAAAAAGTGGCCGGTAATTAGTCTTAAGAAAAATCACTTTGCGCCAATGTCCGTCCACTTTTTAATACTATATAATTCCATTAATTTAATTAAAAATTACTATATGAAACGATAATTTCAATTTCACTTCGTGAATAATACTTAACTCGATCATATCATTTGTATCATTTTAATATTTGTTCAAATGTTTATATGACTTGAATAAAAGTGTCCGGGTATTGGGGGGTGGCCGGGTATTGGCACAGTTACCCTTTTCTATTTGACAGCACTCAAACTTATGAAAATGAGGTTATGTCATACTTATTCCTTCTAACGGCTTTGATCCACTCATTCCGGTGGTTAAGTCTATTTTGGGAATAAGGAAATTAATAAAATTTAATATCAGTGTTTCTCTACGTATTACCGCAGTTGATAACGCAACAATTTACATGAGAAGGCAATTTTTAAATCACTTGTATTGTTTAACTCATGTATAAGCATGTATAAGCATGTAAAAGCGTCCTGTTTTTTTTCTTTATTCTGCCACCACGCGAAGCAGCGCTGACATCGTATACCCCCACCATGCTAACTCTCGGTCCGAATTGTACTCGCTGTTATTTTATATGTAAAAACTTCACGCGCGTGCCGATACACGGGTATAATGTAATGATAATTGTGAAATTATCTCATTTCAAAATTTATTATAAAGATAAAAATTATATACATAATCATATGTAGATGAACCAACCACGAGTACATTTTTATCATGGCTTTTCATTACAAAATAGTCAATCATGATTAAAAATGGGTAATTCTTTTAGGCTATCGCGAAGATATTCCGTAGCGAAATTCTCCCAGTTCGCTTGAGATGAAATATTTTTTTCTTCAAATTTCACTTCGCTCTCGTCACTAAGATAATCTTTGCGACCGTCATGAATTCTTTTTTTATGTCTGAGCAAATTCGATTTTATTCCAAATACCTTCTCGCACTTGTCGCATGCATAATCTTTACGACTCTCGTGGACTGTCTTTTGATGAATGAGCAAATGTGATTTTTGTCCAAATTTCTTCTCACACTTGTTACATGCGAAATCTTTGCGACCTTCATGGACTGTTCTTTGGTGTTTAAGCAAATCTGATTTCTGTCCAAATGACTTATCGCACTTGTCGCACTCGTAATCTTTGCGACCCTCGTGGACTGTCTTTTGGTGGTAAAGCAAATTCGATTTTTTTGCAAATTTTTTTTCGCACTTGTCGCACGCGTAATCTTTGCAACCCTCATGGACTGCCTTTTTATGCATAATCAAATTCGATTTTTGTCCAAATACCTTCTCACACTTGTCACATGCGAAATCTTTCCGATCTCTGTAGACTGTCTTTTGGTGCTTTAATAAATCAAGTTTTCGTCCGAATTTCTTCTCACACCAGTCGCATGCGAAATCTTTCTGATGTTCGTGGATTATCTTTCGGTGCCAAAGCATACTCCATATTTCTTCAAATTTTTTCTCGCAGCTGTTACATGAGTAAACTTTGCTAAAACCGTGAAATATTTCTTGATGTCTGAGCCAAGACGATTTTTGTTCAAATTTTCTTTCGCATATTTTGCATATCATATCTTTGGAACCTCGATATACCGTATTTTGGTTTCTGACTGAATTTATATCACTCCCAATTATATTTTCGCAATTGTTACGAACGTAATCTCCTTCCTGCTCGTAATCTCTTTGCACAATTGGGTTATTGTGCCGAATCATTATTGATTTTTTTTTCTGAATATCTTCTGAAATATCACACAAACGTAGTCTACGTTGGCTAAACAACAGTGTTGTACTTGTTTTATCTATTTGCGATAAATGTAATTCAATTTACCGTTGAATTTGAATTGCTAAAATTTATTCGTGGATATTATTTAGTGTATAACTTATACGAGCAAATCTCGCACTGATTCGATTGTCAATTACAATTTACCTCTATTAGAAGACGATGTCAACATTTCCGATCAAAATTATCTTTAGTAAGACATAGATGTCTCCATTTATATATTGATCCCGTATCTTTTAATAAACTTCTGTGATTCGTAAACAAATTTTCCCTATTCGTGGTCTTTGTTTTGTTCTGACTGAAAATTTATTCTCTTGATTTACATTGTTTCAAATTCAGTAAGAACTTATAATACTAAATATGAATTCATAAGTTGATGATAAATTAAACAATTTTTGTTCAAGTTGTTAGGGAGTGTACTAAGAATGCATACGACACAGATGCAACAATGCGCTACGCAGACTTGTGTTAACATCTAAACAATTGAAACGACGAGCATGAAATTTTCCACGTTCACGAAGAGCTTGAAATCTCGCTCGGGTATACATTTCGATCGAGCAGTTAGATTCAGCTCAGTAAGTTCTACATCGAGGCCTTTATGGGCTTGCTCCGCGATTGTAAAGTAAAAACAATACCATCTTTCGAACCGTCGGTTAAGGGTCCTCTATACACACTCGGTCGGTAACTATATTCGCGTATTTTGTACCCATTTTTTTCATTTAGTATACAACCTATGGTCTTGAAATTTTGTGGGAGTGATCATGAAACTAATACAAATGTGCCTATGAAGCTATTTTTTCAGATAATTGAAAAAAAAAAATTTTACAATATTTATATGAAAAAATAGCTTCATAGGCACATTTGTATTAGTTTCCTGATCACCCCCACAAAATTTCAAGACTAATGGTTGAATAGAAAATGAAAAAAATGAGTACAAAATACACGAATTAGTTACCGACTTCAGTGTGTATAGAGAAGCCTTAAATAACGCAAACAAAGCTTACGTAATATAATTCGTTTCGGTCGAACGTTTCAACGTCACAAGTTTCGATATACAATGGTACGCGGAGAGTAGAATTAATTATGTGAAATATGCGTTTGCTCTCGTTCGATATCGAAGCTTTATAAATTCGGTAAAATTAATTACCTTCGCGATGGAGAAAGGCGAAAACTTTTCCCTCCTCTCGCCACCTTCCCTTATCTATCTGTTTTTCTTCGCGAAATCGGATATATAGCAGCTAACTCCTACATATAGGTAGACACAAACAAAAGATCACCACCGACCACGCCGAAGACACCTGTCGCGCATCGCTCTCGATCGCTGTGTACATCGCTTCGTTCGTACATCCATACAGCTTCCTCGTCTTTATCCATTATATACGTATATCTGTAATAATACGTATATATACGTGTTCCATAATACGGAAGCCAAGTTTTGGCCATCCGAAACTCGAGAGCGACGAGAGAAGTTCGCGCGCTTTGAACAGAGAGAACAGCAGCACAAAAGACCCGGGGCAGGCAGGCACACAGCTGGCCGATATAATGTACGATTTTCTTGCCAAGCTGGACGGCACACAATGCTTCGCGCAGGCTGCAGCCATAATGCGGACCATCGAAGCGGGAGAATCGCTCCGCGAGAGTTTCGCCGACGACGTCATTGTACGCGTGTAGTACATATAGAGAGTTAGTAGGGGGCGCTGATTTATACGTAATAATGAGCGTGTAATGGCTCAGAGCAAAAATTGATCGACGATCGAGATATGATATAACACGCGATTAAATCGCGCCTCGACGAAGGTCTTACGAGAAAGAAGATAGTCAAGTCGCGGCGCGTGCGGTTGCCTTTTTCGCGGCTCGTGTGCGAGTCGTTCGTCCGGTCCGGTTTTAGTGCATTTGGCGACAGGCCAGAGAATACATATCGTAGCCATGGCAACTGTCCTTGAATCTCGCCGTTATTCACAGCGTAGATTCACGCGCGCGCACACGTTCGTACACCGCCACGATGATCTCTCTGTTATATATATATTTTCGCTGCGCGAGTATATGTTTATGCAAATTCACGTGCGGCGAGCAGCGAACTGTAATTACGAAATCGCGCGGCCGAGCTTTTTCCGCAGCAACAGAGAGAGAGAGAGAGAAAACGTGTACGTGAAAATTAATTTTTCTCTTTTTTTTTTGGTAAGCGTTGGTACGTGTCATCGATATATATATACGACACACGATACATGCACCACAGGGCGAAAAAAAACTTTTCGCTCGATTAAAAATCCATTAACATATTATCTGTATATATACGCGTGGCTGGTCATGGTGGTATGGTTTACACGTACACAAAAGACGGAAATAAAGAACGCGGAAAAAAACACATTGTCAACATAAATCTCTTTTGTCTCTCTATGGTACGTCTATGCACACATACACACTCGAAAGCCCACGCTTAGCCCAGGCGTTAATCCTCGTTAGCGATCCTCGTGCGGTGGCTCGGCGCAACTACGCGCGTTACATTTATTTTTGCGAACAAACAACCGCCGCCGCCCCGAACGCGATTAGGTGTTACATAAATTTCGTAGAGCAGAGTAGAGGAGGTGGGAGGTAAAGGACTTAACGATAATCGTTGTGTGTCTCTCTCTCTCCTTCCACGCGCGAATTTATAACGATATTCGGTTCGTATATATATTGTATTTCGAACGAGTCGAGGGAAAGATAGAAAGAAAAAAAAATCCATAATTAAATTCCGCACGCGATAAAGCACACACGCGCGCGCGCACGCAAGCTCATGAGTGCGAGAGAGAGAGAGAGAAAATCCTGGATGAAGGCTCTCAATTTCATCGATTTATATACCTCATAGGATATACCCACGCGCCGCAGAGCAGTTTCTCTTGTGTTTCTCTCGTCGCCTCTGCGGAAACGACGAAATAAAATCAATCCTCCGTAGTAGTGCGCGCTGCGGCTCTCTCTCCTTCTTTCTTTCTCTATTTTTTTTCCTCCTTCGTAATGTATATCCCGGCGTAGTAATACACATATATAGAGACAATGGCCCTGGGTAAATATCGTATGTACTTGTGTGTGTGTGTGTGTGTGTGCACGCACGTTGGATCACGTTGCGCGTATAAATGGCAATGGAATTCCTTATTTATACAGTATTTCACGTCGATTCTCTCTTTATATAATAGATAAATGCGACGTGCGTTTACTCTTTTTTGCTTTGCTCTTTCTCCCGTATACGAGCTCGTGTATTATATCGCTATATTTTGTAATATATACTCGTGACGTCTGACTTGTCGCGATTCCGTACCACTTGCAAATTTGCAGTAGTCAAAGTCAACCGCGAGTCTCGTAAGACTTGACGTATTAGAGAAAAGTAATAATAATAATAACAACTGAACGAGCTTTGTGAATTACTGAATTTAATGAAAAGAAGCGCACGCGATTCTTAATATAACGACGATTTTTAAAAAGACTACGTGACCTCTTTGAACTTTCTGTAATAAGGCGTGACGAGAGATCAAAGTCACAGCAGCATATTGCACGCAACACTCGCGATATATTTATTTGAAAAAATTGTAATTCATTTTCACGACTTGTAGACCTATCGGTGTGAAATTGAAAAATGTAATAATCGAGCCGTGAAATTCGTCCAAACCACAGAGCGCGATTCATTATTAATCGTAACCGACGATAAAGTAACTTTTGAATTGAATAAAATATTTCACTCGTGTAAACTACTGACGTTTTCGTGGTATCGTGTTATTTTTAAAATTTACTATGGAAACGCCCTTTATTTACTTGCGTTACACTTAACACTTTTGAGTGTTTATGTACTTGAAAATTTGTTCCAGACAAAAGTTACTGTTTCAAAAAATAATGTTGTGGTGTGGCGAATTTCACAGTCAACGCGCAGTATTAGCAATATTTCAGTATGTTTACAAATACCTGACAATCAATTTCAGTATCTGTCTACATTTTTTTTATTAAAAATGTTTCAACGATTGTTCGAAAAAACACGCACAAGTGAAATCCTTGAATTTGAAAAATTAGATAGTGAATACTACGCTTCGAGTAAAATATTTCTCAAGATGTCATTCCTGTGGCGGGGCCAAAGTCTTTTTTTACAATATCTCGGCAAATCATTTATAATATTAAATTGTCTATCAGTTATAATTTTTCAATTATCTGCTACATTTGATTTGATTCGTCCGCCGATAGACTGGGAAATGGCTATACAAAATTTTTTCGACTATCCTTTGCTTTGACGATATTTACTACGTACTGCATAGTTTGCTATAATCAACATGAGGTAGTAATTAAGGGGACCTTAGACCTCCAAATTAGAAAAAAAAAAATTTCGAAGAGTTTTTTCAAATAGAAATAAAACAATATAGCTCAATGAAACATTTTGCACATACTACATTAACCTTATATTACATAAAAAAAATTTTGTTTTAATTTTTTTCACCCGGTGTCGTCTGTTACAATTACTTGAAAAAATTTTTTAAAAACGGTGGCTCACGTGATAACAGAAAAACCATTAGTTTTATTGTCCTGAAATTTTAAGACAATCTGCGGATATTAGTGCTCAGAATGAACTAAAATGCAAAAAACTAGTTAAAAAATGACGAAATGGAATCTTTTTTTCGAAAATCGAAACTTTTTTTTTCAAAAATGTTGTTTGTAACTTTAAATATATTGTGTCCATTTTTCTCATTCTAGTTCAGCAGAGACGTATACAAAGTATTGTGTTCAAATTTTAGGACGATAAAATTAATCGTTTTTCTTAATCATGTTTGCCAACTTGAAGAACGTTGCTTCGAGAAAATAGTTATAACAGACGACACATGAAACCTTTCATAAATGCCTTTTACTCTATAAAATATTGTTTTTAGTTTTTTAAGATATGACTTCTTCTTTCATTGAAAATAAACATTCCCCACACACAGGTCCCCTCAAAAGAATTGCATTCATTTTTTTCGCAAGTAACATGAATATATTTCAGACGGATGATGTGGGTAGGATAGCAATGACTTTTTGGAGTAATGTAACTGATCCCGATCAAAAAAAATTAATGATAAACTTAAGCCAATTTCATCGCAAATTGGTGCTAATCTTTAGAGGTTTGATGGTCCATTTTTAATTACGACACCAAAATTTATAAAGACGATAATTTTACATTCATATCAAAATAAATGTTTTTTTGCAGTTTTAATCTTAACCAACTTTACTGGATTCGCTATCTTTCCTGTATTTACCCCATATGTTATTAATAATATCTTTCCAAATAAGTATAACCTAACACCTAAACTTTGTACAACTGCTGATATTTTTTATATCGATGAAAATGAATATTTTTTCTGCGTATTTTTGTATTCCGTATTTTTATTAATCATGGCGGCTATAATTACAATTTCTATTTTCGGCATATCAACATTTTTCTTTTCCAATATTCTTATTAGATTTAACCTTTTGCGGTAGGTGTTGGCATTGTAATATAAAAACTACGTGGCTAAAGCTCGATTTTTTTCCAGCTTTCGGTTACGAAAATTAAGTTCGTTCGTAAAAAGGGATAAATTTCAAAATACTGAATCAGAAAATAAATTTATTTATGATGAAGTAAGAAGTGTATACCAGAGCCATGTGACCACTATAGAGTAATGTATATCATACGACGTCGTGAAATATTTTAAATCGTTTTAATGTACTTACAAAATTTTTTAGGTTCTGTGACAAGATCCAATATATTGGTAGCAAATTATTAATGGTAACTTCAATTTACGTCTTCGTTGGCCTAAGTTTCACAGGAACCCTGGTAAAATTATTATTCAGTGCATTTGATGAAATTTTAAAAATATACCCCGACAAATTTTACAGATACTATTCTCATTGAGCGTAAAAAACTATGCTCTCTTAGTTGAGATGATAATTTCATTTTTTGTGGTTATAATTATGGCATTTTTAATATCTCATTTCGGACAAATAGTTATCAATGCCAGCGACGATATATTTTATAATTGGTAAGCGATTGGATCTTTTATTTACACATTTTCTTGTCTCAAAAGTTGACAATGAACGCAACCATCTGCAATTTTCTCTCTGTACTGAGAGAGTTAGAAATCTTTCGAGCGATTTTCCCAGTTTTATGAGTACGAAATAAAAACTTTTTTCTTGTGAAGACCTAATATGTATCCCCCCTCGTTTGATTGATATCCACAATAATTTTTAATTTAGTGAATAACGAATTATTTTTACAGTTACTTCTGCGGATGGTACAAATTTCCTTCAAACGCTAAACCGTACGTAATAATGATGATGGTTCGAGCACTCAGCCCTTATGAATTTAATTCAGGTCCGTTTACGGTGCTCAAACTGAATTATGAAAATTTTAATACAGTAAGATAAAAATCAATTCTACATCTAGATCTTGAAATCTAAACTAAACTAATTTTACACTTTTAATTATCAAGATTGTCAACACCGCAGTACCTTACATGACGGTCATGGCTTCTCTTATGTAAATGAAGCTTGAAAATAATATCAATTAATAAATACAGATTTATTTTGGCAGAATCACAATTTATTTATAATATAAAGAGAAAATTAAAATTCATACGTTCTCAAGTTTTTTATTTTTTTATAACTCAGATAAAAGAGGTAGAAGGACAAAGTGGGTACAAAAACCGCATAGAAAATGATTCGTAGAATGCATAATACGAATCAATAATCAATTTCTTAGTTGTGATGTAAATGAAAACAAATATATTCCGATAAGTAATGAGATAATTAAAAAATTTTATTTTTAAAACTGTAACAACAATAAAACCTTTATAATAGAATAACTCGAAATCGTGGTAATACTATATTTTCAAAAGATCATACAGTAGCAAATACGACAATTTGATCCCTAGAACTCAAACTTCAGAAGTCTATTCATTTTTTTTAAACTTTGAATTCCAAATCGCCAATGATCAATCACTTGACTATAATGTAAATCAATCCAAATGTAATTAATGTGATAAATATCGAATGGCTATTCAGGGGACATTCTTGCATGAAATTATTGATTTTCGTTTAGGAAAATGACAATTTTTCACGTAAAACTAGGGTTGTCTCGGGTTATTTGCAGTATTGTTTACCAATTTCAAAATTTCGTACACGAAAATCAAAAATTTCGTATAAGAATTTCACCTGAATAGTTAGACCCAATAAATATATTTTGTGACGATGTCACTGAGCGGTAAATCGCGAAAATGACGCAAGCTGTAATGTGTCAATGTGTGAGTGAGATGCGCGACCGAGAGGATGATAAAGTAGGAAAATCGAAGTATCACTAGAGCGCGCGTTCGAGGTTCAGGGCAAAGGAAGAGCCAAGTTAACCTCGGACGCGTCTCTCGGACCACGTGCACTGGAGAGCGAATCGATCGGTGCGAATCGAGCGCTCGCGTTCGATGCGTCGTCGATCTGCGCGACAGTGCACACGGTGATTCGCAATTAGACCGCGAGGTAGAACGGACGTGTCGAGGAGTGATGAGTCGTGTGTGAAGCTGTGTGGCAGCGGTTGAGTGGGTCGTGAATAAGCTGGGTGGCAGCAGAGAAGTTGGTCGTGAACAAGCTGTGTGGCAGCGGTAAAGTCGAGTGTGAAGCTGTGTGGCAGCGGTAAAGTCGAGTGTGAATCTGTGTGGCAGCGGTAAAGTCGAGTGTGAAGCTGTGTGGCAGCGGTAAAGCCGAGTGTGAAGCTGTGTGGCAGCGGTAGAGTCGGTCGTGAACAAGCTGTGCGTGCAGCGGAAGTTCGTGTGTTGTGTTCGTGGAGAGGTTGAGCTAAGCCTGGAGTGCAGTGCGACGAGAGAAAAGTTGCGAGGTGACGAGGCGATCGTGAGGCCCGGAAGGCAGCGGGCCGCGCGATTCGCTGTACAGCGACTTTTCTGATCAATCGTCCGAGGCATCTCCGAGGTGAGGCAAGAGCCCTTGGACCGGGCAGACCACGAGGACGGAGCAGCTGGGGGACAGCGGGAGTCAACATCGAGAATAAAGACCGAGGCAACGGAGCGACGCAGAAGGTTGTAGATTGGATTAAGCTTGGTCGGTCGCGCGGATGTGTGAGAGTGTTGTATGATTGCGTAGTGTGAATGTAGAAGAGAAAATAAGAAGTTCGCCGTAGAATCCTTGTAGTACGAGTAGTGGAGATCGGAGTAATTGTAGCGAGTACCTTGGACATTCAAGACGTGGTTCGAGTCCACGTGTTGCGTTTCAGGCCGGCGCGTGGCCATTTTTGCGAAGCGGTACTGTAACATCCGAATTAACAGATATTACATAGTTATATATATTTA